CACAAGATCCTCAGGTGATGCTGATGCTCATTTAAACTACAGTTTCCATTTTAAACTAACCTACATTTTACAGATAACTAACCTACCGTTTCCATTTTAAACACATTTATTTGTAAAGAAAGAGTGAATTGGTTTAAATAAAAATAGCATGAATGAGTATTAAGATAGTGTGAAAAACGATGTCAGTCGGTGGTCCAAGAACATTTGAGAAACACTTAAATACAGTATTTTTGCTAATGAAACTAAGACATAGTGTTTCAGCCAAGAGACCAGTAAGTATCACGGAAGCCATTCACTGGATTGAGAGGGGACAAATCATGTGAGGGACTGTGGCTATAGCCTTGGCCAGCAGCTTTACACCAGACCTGCCCACCAAGGCTTTGAAAGTTGCCTCCATTCCTTCCCTGGCTCTTCCCCATGGAGTGATGGTAAATGTTTCACAGCTGCTTTCTGGGTGAAATATATGTATTTGTATATATGTGCCAATCAAATTCACAGTACTACTTAAGGGTAATGTAACAATTTCCGTTGATTTTTTTATATATAATTTTAGAGGTAACACAAATTTTAAGACAAAATACTTTGCTATTTCAATTACACCTATAACTTCAGCATGACTTGCTATTTCTTGGAAAATTCACCAACCATTTTTTTATAATTCTATCATCTACAATAGTATCACAAAATCAGACTACAAAAAATGCTTGATTACTAATTTCCGATTAAGCAAAAAGTCACTCACTTATTTGTTACCGGTGGCAAATCTGTAGGGGGTCTGCAGCAACCTCAATCCTTGCCTCCTCAGAAGAAAGAATTCGACTGAGGGGCATAAAGCAGAAGAGACTGAGGCAAGTTTTAGAACAGGTGTGAAAGTTTATTTAAAAACTCTAGAGCAGAGACTGGGCACGGTGGCTCACACCTGTAATCCCAGCACTTTGGAAAGCTGAAGCCGGAGGATCACCTGAGTTAAGGAGTTCGAGACCAGCCAACTGGTTGGAGTTTCTTCCAACATGGAGAAACCCTTTCTCTACTAAAAATACAAAAATCAGCCAGGTGCGGTGGCAGGCACCTGTAATCTCAGCTACTCGGAAGGCTGAGGCAGGAGAATCGCTTAAACCTGGGAGGTGGAGGTTGCAGTGAGCTGAGATCACGCCATCCCACTCCAGCCTGGGGGACAAGAGCAAGACTTCGTCTCAAAACAAAACAAAAAACTCTAGAGCAGAAACCAAAGGAAGGAAATACACTTGGAAGAGGGCCCAGCGGGCAACTTGAAAGACAAGTGTGCGGTTTGACCTTTTGACCTGGGGATTTAAACGTTGGCATGCTTCTGGGATCTTGTGTCCCTTCTCCCCCGATTCCTCCCTTGGGGCGGGGTGTCCGCATGTGCGATGGCCTGCTAGCACTTTGGAGGGGAGCATGCGCAGTGTGTTTACTGGAGTTGTACACATGCTCATTTGAGGCATTCTTCTCTTACCAGCTGAATGCCCCTAGGAGGTCATATACCAGTTTAACTCTGCCATTTTGCCTCTTAGTGTGCATGCTTGAGCTCACTTGCCTAGCTCCTGAGATCTTATCAGGAAGTTGCTGATCACCAGTTTCAGGTTTTTTTCTATCTTTAGGGAGACTGCTTTTCCCTGCCAGCTGTGACAAGTTACTATTTTAGAGAGACAGTTAACAACCACCTGACCATCACCTGATGATCGCCTGACATTCTTGGTTGCAGGGGTGCCTCTCCTGCCCTGTTCATGTCTGACTGGCTACCTATTAGCCACCTATGTTACAGTTACCAGTAATAATATAATTTTTCTTTCCCCCAAGACAGAGTCTCGCTCTGTCGCCCAGGCTGGAGTGCAGTGGCCCGATCTCGGCTCACCGCAACCTCCGCCTCTCAGGTTCACGCCATTCTCCTGCCTCAGCCTCCTGAGTAGCTGGGACCACAGGTGCCTGCCACCACGCCTGGCTAATTTTTTGTATTTTTAGTAGAGACGGGGTTTCACCGGTTTAGGCAGGATGGTCTCGATCTCCTGACCTCGTGATCCGCCCGCCTCAGCCTCCCAAAGTGCTAGGATTACAGGCGTGAGTCACCGCGCCCGGCCATAGCAATATAATTTAATTTCTAATGATGGCTGTGTTTAGCCGTCAGCTTACAACATTCCTGGAAATTTAAAAATCAGCTCCTGTGAGCTGTTAGGAGCCAGTTCTAGTTTACTACTGCTCCCCGCCACCCTCTGTAGCTACATTGCCTGACTCCATTTGCCTTCCATGATGCCCCACCTCCTGCCTCCCACCCACCTACACAGCCCATGTGACCAGGACCCCAACCCCAAACAGGGGAGAAAAACTGGGGTACTGATCTTAAGAATTTGGAAGATAAGGAGTATACTTCAGAATGATCCACCTGAGTTTGGGGGAAGATACCTCCAATTTTAGGGATCTTAAATTGGTAGAATGGTGGAGATGACCGCATTAAATACTGGTTGGGAGCACATTTCTGGGTCTGCTGCTGGGCTTGAATCCTGTTTCTGTCTCTCATTGGCCGTATAATCTTCAGCAAACAACTCAATCTCCCTGTGCCTCAGTTTCCTATGAGGATAATAATGACATCTGCTTCACAGGGTTGTAAAGATTAAATTAATCGATTAAAACTTTTAACATGGTGCTTGGCACAGAGTAAGTGCCTAATACATATTCGTTATTAGTAGTCGTATTTATTACTATTTAACTATTACTAAATATTTAACTCTTCATAGTAGCATTTAACTATTACCATTTTGTTATTTAACTATTAAATAATAAAAGTTGTTTGTTGGCTACTATTACTTTTTACATTTGGAAAATATATACAGCCAGTGTTTTCATGCTTTTAGGGTTCTAAAGGCTTCAGCATGCTTAATCTACTGGAAGCCTCATAGTGACCACAGGACAGAGTCATTATATGATTATGAGTATGATTCTCCATTCATTGTGGTCTGTGTTCTGTGGGCAAAACTGAGACTCTGAGAGGCTGAATGATGGCCTAGGGCCACAAGCTGTTGGCTAACCAGTCAGAGCTGGGTCCAAGGCTTCTGTTCTCCTTCAGCTGCTTCAAAGCCTTTAATGGTCATTCTATGGGCTCCGTAAAGACTTCAAACAGTAAGAATTGGAGGTGCTACTACTGAGCTATGAGCCTCTTGACTTGGGGTTTCTTTTTTTTTTTTTTTTTTGAGACAGAGTCTCACTGTCACCCAGGCTGGAGTGCAGTGGTGCCATCTCGGCTCACTGCAACCTCTGCCTCCTGGGTTCAAGAATTCTCTGTCTCAGCCTCCCAAGTAGCTGGGACTACAGGCTCACGCTACCACACCCGGCTGATTTTTGTATTTTTAGTAGGGATGGGTTTTCAACATATTGGTCAGTCTGGTCTCGAACTCCTGACCTCAGGTGATCCACCCACCTCGGCCTCCCAAAGTGCTGGGATTACAGGCGTGAGCCACTGTACCCTGCCTCGACTTGGGGTTTCTAGCCAGTTCATTAGATTGGATTATCTTTGGATTATTCTGTAAATAAATATTCATATGTGGTAAAAATGGTAATTCCAGAAAACCGTAACCTAGGAAAGTAGAGTTTTTTCCCTCCTACATTCTTGGCTAGGTGGAATTCCATCAGACTGCATCAAAGAAACTGGGGATGATCTCCTATTTTTCATCTTTTCCCCACAAAAGAGGAGTGACAATGATCTGCTCCCCTGAATATATAGGAAGGGATCTGACTCTGTCCATCTTGCTCTGGGGAGAAGGTTAAAAGCACAGAGCTTCCCTATGTCTGGGTCACAGTTTCACAGTTGTGGCTAGACATATGGTTTTCACAAGGAAACAGGGACTGTCAGATTGACAGAGATCAAGTTGGATAACTCCTTGTTGGAGGGCGGTATGGGACAACTGGCACTGTCTTACAATGCTGAAACGGATTTCAAGTTTTCCGAAGGGAAACTTGCCACTATTCACCGAAATTAAAAACATATACCCATTCTAATCAGCAGTTCTACTACAAGAACTACTTTCTCAAAGACATGCTCTTGTATGAAAAATAAGGGATCTAAGCTGTTTCTTTGCACCATTGTTTGTAATAGGGAAAGAAAAACTAGAAACAATCTGAGTGTCCACCAGCAGAGACTTCTAAATAAATTGCAGCCCTTCCAAACAAGACAACACTGTGCAGCCGCTAAAAAGAATGTACTCGATTTCTATTAGGTTGGTGCAAAATTAATTGCCGTCTCAGCCATTGAAAGTAGTGGCAAAAACTGCAATCACTTTTGCACCAACCTAATATATACTGATATAGAATAATTTCTAAGATATATTAAGTACCAAAGCAAGAGGGGATAATACATATTTATAAACATATAAACTATTTCTGGAAAGAGGAATAAGAAACTAGAAACAAGAGAACTGGGTAATTAGGACATGGGAGAAAAGGAGACTTTCTATATAGTCTGTAGGAAATCTTTTGAATTGTATTTCATTTGCACGCATTGTATGTTCAAAATAAATGCATTTTTGTATACAAGCTGGTGAAGGGACCTGTTTGAAAAAAAGATGTTTCCAGCTAGGCGCAGTGGCTCATGCCTGTGATCCTAGCACTTTGGGAGGCCAAGGCGGGCGGATTACCTGAGGTCAGGCGTTCAGGACCACCCTGGCCAACATGGTGAAACCTGTCTCTACTAAAAATACAAAAATCAGCCAGGTGCGTGGCAGGCACCTGTAATCCCAGCTACTCGAGGCTGGAGAATTGCTTGAACCCAGGAGGAGGAAGTTGCGGTGAGCTGAGATCGCACCACTGCACTCCAGCCTGGGCTATAGAGCGAGACTTCATCTCAAAAAAAAAAAAAAAAAAAAGATGTTTCCATGTGACAGCTGTGTTTCCTCTGGTTTGAGGCAGTGGAGTGGTGATTAGAAAGGCTAGGAAGGAAGGATGGGCTCAGCAACTGATCTTCCCCGCTCATACTGAGACCTGACTCTCCACAGCAACAGGCGGAGGTGGCCCACGTGTCCCAGACCCAGGAAGAGAAGCTGGCAGCTGCCCTCAGGGTGGAGTTACACAACACTTCGTGCCAAGTCCAGAGCCTCCAGGCTGAGACAGAATCCTTACGTGCCCTGGTAAGTGGGCCAAGGAAAGACCTGGCATCCCTGTGCTAATTTTAACTCTCTACTGTCAAATTCCAGTATTATGGACCATAGTTTCCAGGGGATTCCCATCTCACAGCATGAGTTTTGAGGCCTGAAATGTCTTCTGACTCTCAAGGATCATCAGATACTGAATCACAGCACGTGCAATAGACACTGTAGTGCCCCCCTGAAATCTCTCTTACCAGGCTGCTGCTATAAATGTTGGCTGTTAACATCCACAGCCTTTTCAGGTGCCCCACTGCTCCAGAGACCTGCCCTTACCCACACTGAGGACACCTGGCCCAGGATGTTAGGCCCTGCCCCCCCAGCCCTCAGCTCTGACTGAGAGGGGGTTTTAAAAGCCCAGCCCTCTTGCTTCAACATGGAACTAGCTCCATTCTCTAGAGCTCTCCATAGGACCAGGCTGTAGCCAGATTCCGGAGACCACATCCTCGCTTAGTGCCTTCCTCTGCCCTGTCCTGCTTTCCTCACTCCCCCTTTTCCTGAGAGTACTCCTTAATGATTTGCGAGTTCCAGGATCCCTAACTCAGGCTCTGCTTCTGGAGAACCCAACCTGAGACAGCTAGAAAGCTCTCAGACTCACTGTGATTTGCAAGCACATCTCTTTTATCATTAATTATTATTGATTAAAATATTGTTAAAATAATCAATAAAATGTATTAATAATGAAGCAATCCACCCTCTGACCTCTGGGATGGACTGAAGTTCTATTTGGGTGTTAAACACAGCTCTTCTTAGACGTCCCCTCCAGGAGGTCATTTGCACTATTCTAACTACAGCTTTGTTGGTGCAAATTAAAGGTTGGCCCACGTAATCCTTGTGCAGCTGAGATGGCTTGGAGTCAATGAGGCGCGTGATAGGATGTAGGTCAGCGCAAGTATGTAGGAGAAAAAGATCTGGGGATCTGAGGGGAGGAAAATCAAGAGTAATAGAGTCAGAAGGGCTCAGCTCCTCCATTTATCCCTTGGGTAAATAGGCAAATCCCTGAACCACAGTTTACTCTTCTGCAAAATGGGTGTGACAGTCACAGCCCAGCCCACTTCTCAGTGATTCTAGGAGGATCCAAGGTGTGGATGCACATGAGCACGCTCTTCTGACTTTTAGCATTACTTTGAGAACTTGCTAGTTCCTGGAACTGTGCCAAGTGCTTTGGGAACATAAAATGAATTAGATACGGTCCCTGCCTCCAAGGAGTTAATGTGGCTTCCGGGGAGGAGCTGATATAAATGTGAGGGCGTGGCAGGTGGGAGACGGCACCCCTGCTGTGGGTGTCAGGGAGTCAGGGGGTAGACTTCGTGGTAGGTGCTCTACTCACTCACTAGCTGTGTGACCGAGCAGAGCTTTCATTTTCTCACTTGTAAAGTAAGGATCTATTTTGACTGTCATATCTTTTACTGTATCAGTAGGTTAAAACAACAGTGAATCACTTCTTCTCTCATTCTGTGATTTAGGCAGAGTTCAGCAGGGATAACTCCTCTGTATCATGTGGCCTCTGCTGGGGCTGGACACCCAAAAATGACTTCTTCACTTAGCTTGTCTGGTGACTCCATTGTGCATCTCCTTTCTCTCTCCCTGTGACCGCTCCATGTAGCCGGCTTAGACCTCCTCATACCATGACAGCCTGACATAGTCAAACTTCTGATATAGCACCTGAGTGAGCACAGAAGCTACCAGGCCTCTTAACACCTGGGCTTGAAAGTCTCTGCACATCACTTACACCACATTCTAGTGGTCAAAGCAGTCACCAGACTATCCTAGATTCAACGGGGAGAGAAATAAACTCAACCTCTTGATGAGACAATGGCAAGGTCACATTGAGAAAGCGATTGTGGAGTGGAGATCATTGTTGCAGCTGCCAATACAAGTGTGAGCCACGTCAGGATAGTAATAGAATTTACCTCATAATGTCATTGAAATGATTGATAATGTATGTCAAGCCCTCAGCACAGTGCCTGGCACTTAGTGAGCAGTCAATAAATGCCATCTATTATTAATTATCATATAAAATTGCTATACTAACTACTAGAATAGTAACTCCAAGTTGGCATCACCAGCCACCTGGTCACCTCACTTAAACCCATGGTCCTAACTATTGGGAAAAAATGGAAAAAGAATTTACACTCTCAACCAGAAAGCTTCAGAGTAGTGGCATTCTTTCTATGCCCATGGCCCAGAACAGGCTGCTCTGTTCCCTGCTGGTTCTGGTAGATTACTGTTCTGGTCACAGGGCCTTGCAGCCACGGTGAGGAGCACACACTGGGACAAAATAGGTAACAAACTCTCCTACAGTTTTCAGATACAGGAAGTTCATCCAGCCATTCCTGTTATTCTCATTCAGAGCGATCTGTGCACACAAAAGGCCCCCACAGCTTATATAAACTTCAGACGGCCAAGCTGGCGAGACTTTCGGCCCCCTTTGCCAATAAGGCACTATTTGCATTGGAAGCTAGGCACGAATAATGGTACTTGAGACCTGCTGAACTCTGTGTCCAGTCAACTCAAATCAGGAATGGAATTCAAGGCCAGAAGTCACAGAAGGTCACTCTTTTACTTTCTGGAGGGTTTTGCAATTCTAGAAAGTCCTTCAAATCTCTAGAGACCTGCAGAGTAAGCGTGCTTCTGTGACCTCAGTTTGTTTGCTGGTGCTGTCTGTGTGGCTGACCGAGCCCGCGTGCTGCCTGCAGCAGTAGCCTGGTCATAGTCGCTCAAGCTCAAGCATCTCCGGGAGAACCAGGCATTCTCTTTCTGCCAGAGTATCAGGGACTTCGGTAGGGAAGCTAGATTTGGACTTTAAGGTTAAGATGGAAGACACATATAACCTGTGGCTGGGGTTCCAGTGAATGCCCTGTTGGCAGTGGGTCCTAAGTCACCAAGGAAAAACCTCAGGCCACATGAAGAACTCATCTAGAAGATGGAGAAAAACTACAGACAGATGATCCAACCATGATTCTGTGAAGCGTGTTCCCAAATCACAGATGTTACAAATCCAATGTCAACAATAACTAGTCACAAATTAAGTACTTTCATGTATAAACAAAGAAAGAAAACCCAGGGAGGTTGGAACAAATGATGCTCAAAGTCAAGGTGGCCATTTCTGCATCCTCACTGCTATAGAAAGGTTTTCAGATTCTATTAAATAATAACCCTAGACCAGACACTGATCTAGATTTATTCTCTAGTGATCACATTTTGCCTCTTACAAATATGCCTCAGGTAGATGAGAATCTGACTCAACATTCTCATATCCTGTGGAATTAAGAAGATTTAAATAAGGTAATATGGTGATACCTGCTAATAGCAGTCATGATTTAAGATGGTGTCATGACAAAGAATTTTCTATTTCATCCACAGTGGTCATAAGGGTATAAAAAATCTCCTCCTGGAGGGCAGGGTACAGAATCTTGTTTCATCAAAATTTAATTCAATCCAATTTAGAAAGTTTTTTTTGTGTGTGTTATATTAAAAAGCCAGATGCTAAAGGATAGGCGAACCATAAATGAAACTATTAGAAAATGTTAAACACAGACATAGCTTTTTAAAGGGGTTTATTGATCAGCTCTGTAGTCTTCAGGACATGGTGCATGGGAAGATGAGAAGAACGAAGTTTCCAGTCCAATGGGGAGACACAGGTATTGCAATAAGTGTAACCATAATACAAGTGCTATCATCCAGGGCAACCTACACATACCAAGAACCTATTCTGTGCCAGGCCCTGACTTGTGTGCTGGGACTAAAGAGACTTGGTTCCTTCCAAGTCTCACCATCTGGTGGAAGAGACATGCCCATAAGGAAGCTTAGCCCACTGTGGTAAGTTTAAGAGCATGCATGAGCTTGGGGAGCCATGGAAATACAGAGGGTCTCCTAACCTAGCTTGGTGATGGTAGCAGCAGAGGAGTTTCAAAGACAGCTTCCTGGGGCAGATTACCTCTGAGCTTGGACTTGGGGATGAGTAGGAGTGAGTGAGGTGAGGATGCTGGAAGGAATGGAGGAGCATGGTGCAGGTGGAGGAAACAACACAGACCAAATAAACTCCAAGACTGGAAGTGTTGATGCTGCCGTAGGGTGGGGATAAAGATGGAAAGATACTGGGCCAGCTGTGTGAGCCGTATTAGGGGCCCTGGGGAGCCATCAATGGAGTTTAAGCAGAGGAGATACAGGCCCAGGTTTAGGCTTTCAACAGAGCACTGTGGCTATTTGTGTGTGGAACTCAGGAAGAGGAGGAACTAGAGGTGGGGAGATGAGCTAAGAGGCCACTGAGGGTACCACAGGTGAGAGGTGACAAGCTTCCAATCCCAGGCCATGGTGGCTGCATAATGTGAAAACTTCTCAAGAGGTACAAGAAGCAGGACTCATAATATACAGGAAGCCGTGATGGTTGCATTTGGAAGAAGAGAACGAAGGAAAGCAGGAACACATCTTTCCCCAGTTTCTAGCTCACATGGGTTCACCAGTTGAAGCTTAGACTAGGAGGAGCCAGCAGGTTCAGGAGGCAGCCAGTGGCTTCATTTTGGACACCTTGATGTGAGGTCTGAGTATATATTTCCAGTAAGAAGTTCAGTGGCAGGTCCATAGCTACTGAAGGAAAGATTGGTGGTGGAATTACCAACGCAGGACGTGGCCTGGAAACGACTGTTCAAATCATGAGTATGATGGAGACCAACACAGACCCAGCACGCACTGCTTGGAAAAAAAGCAGGCTCAGGGTGGGCACTGGGGAGCCCACAGTGAGGGGACGGCAGAGGAAAAGGGATAGGCAAAAATGTGCTACTAAAACACCAAAGGGGAAAATGCTGAGTATATAAAGGCCAGAGACATTCATTCTGAGGACAGTGATCTGGGAAAGAATACTGGAGGAGATTCTAGCCAAATGATGGATGGGGTTTCCGCAGCACAGGGAGAAGGGTTCCCCCAGGGAGTGAAAAAATCAGAAGAAAAAGCCCCAGAGAACAAGATTTCTTTGAAGAAACACCTGCAAGCTGCCTCCCATTTGTCTTTCTCAATCCGTCTCCCTCTTGCTCCACTCCTCTCTCACACCCCCTTTCTTTTCTCCCTCCCTCTCTCCTTCTCTTTTTCGCCTCCCTCACCCTCTCCCCCATCAAAAAGATCATTCAATCAGACTAATCGACAGTCTGACCTGAGTGGGATTCCTTATTTTTCCCACGGAGCCACTAAGAATAATAACCCCCGTCAGCCTCCATAACTGGCAAGGTCCCTGCCACAGGGGGAATAGTCCAGGCTACCACCAGCCCCTGCCACTGCTCTGCACACCTCTCTCTTCAAGGGCCCGGCCTGTCGTCCTCGGGTTTGGACCAGGTTCGCTCTTTTGCAGAAACGAGGCCTGGAGAACACCTTGCACGATGCCAAGCACTGGCATGACATGGAGCTCCAGAACCTGGGCGCTGTGGTCGGCAGGCTGGAGGCGGAGCTCAGCGAGATCCGCGCGGAGGCGGAGCAGCAGCAACAGGAGCGCGCGCATCTGCTGGCCCGCAAGTGCCAGCTGCAGAAGGACGTGGCGTCCTACCACGCCCTGCTGGACAGGGAGGAGAGCGGGTAAGCCTCGCTTCTGCGTCAATAAGGGATGCATATTCATGGCTTTAAAAATAATTATTTTCCAAACACTGTAGAAGTATTTAAGAAATCACCCCAGACTTCCTCTCACATAGGCACCCATTCCCACAGCCTAGCTGTGTCCTTCCTTTCCTATCCACATACAAATTATATATATAATATATATTCACATACTAATACATTTTCTATATGTATGCATATTTATGTATGTATATATACACACATGCGTACATATATACACACATACATTCACACATGTGTATACCTAGGATGTACATAATAGCTGTTAGGAATGTTTCAGTTGTTTGTAATAGAACCTAATTAATGAGGCTATAAACCAGTGCTCCTGAAACTAATGTGCATTCAAAACCCTGGGCATCTTTTTTTTGGGGGAGGGTGCGGGGATACAGGGTCTCATCTCGCTGTGTTGCCCAGGCTGGTCTCGACTCAAACCCCTGGGCTCCAGTGATCCTCTCACCTAAGCCTCCAGAATAGCTGGGATTACAGGTGTGAGCCGTGACACCCCGGCTGGGCATCTTTTTAAAATGCAGATTCTGCTTCAGTACATCTGCGGTGGGGTCTGAGAGTCTTCCTTTCTAACAAGCTCCCAGGGGGTGACTATACTGCTGATCCACAGACCACACTCTGACTAGCAAAGATGTGTAAACCATTTATTTAAGAGTCCCAGAAATAGGTGATCTAGGCTGTTCAAAGATTTCGGTAAGGACTCAAGCTTTTTTCATGTTTCTAACATACCATGATAACATTGGCTTTTTATCTTTGTTACCACATGCCAGCCACAGATCCAGACATCACATCCTCATTCATGGCCAGAAGTAGAAGAGAAGAGGCAGCAGCAAAAAAAAAAAAAAAAAAAGGCTTTTTCTTGAGTGGCCCTCTCCTTTAACCAGTGAAGGAAAGACATTTGGAGGCTTGCAGTGGACTGTCCCTTATATCTCATAGACCAGAACCTGCTTATACTGGCCATATCCATCTGCAAGGGAGGCTGAGAAAGCAACTCTTTAGCTTTTCCAGACTCCATAGTGGAGGCAGGCAAGGGGTTGGGAATAGCAGTTGAGTTAGTCTGCCATAATTACACACACACACTTACACTCACTCTTTTTTTAATAGATAAGGATTCTGGAGGCATGTACATCAGCCTTGGGCCTTAGTTGCCTTGCCAACTCTTTCCAGAAACCCAGGCCCTGATTTTGTATCATAGTTCTCTGCCTTCTTATTTCCCTCCAAGGCCCCTTCTCTGACATATGTTGAGTAAGGAATAGAGACAGCTTGGTGATCATATCATTCAATCCCTCCTGATTCAAGAGAGAACACAAAGACCCAGAACGGAAAAAGATTTGCACATGATCACACAGGAGGCGGAGACAGCACTGGGACGGGAGCCCAGGTCTCCTGCTCTCTCCAACAGTGTAACCTCTCTTTATTCAGCAGGCGGGAGAGACTCAAGGAAGCGACCTAACCACGCCCTGCTTTCAAATGGAAAATATGTCATCCAGCTCCTCTCCAACTGTCTTTTATTGAATTGATTTTTGTTGATTATAAAAGCCAGATGTTCCTAATTTTTTTTCAGATGCCTATGAGCATCTGAATAAACACACAAAGTCAGTTTAAACAAACACCAAGAGCAGTGAGTTAGGCTGAGTTACTTCGTAAGAATCTATGTGCTACATTCATTTAGTGAGTGCCAGCGCAGACCTGACTCTTGATTATTTTCGTTTATCCCCCAAACCCTGCCAAAACAACATCGTGATCCCTCTTTTACAGACAGGAAACAAAGCCTCAGAGAGCTTAAGTCATGGCCCAAGGTCTCACAGCAAATAACCATGGAGTAATGATTTAAAATCCAAAACTATCTTGTTCCGAAGGCCAGATGCTTTCATGAGACAGCCCCCTTTCTCGTAATCCTGTTGTGACAGAATGACCCATTTTCCTCGCCCATTGCTTCTGACTCCTATGTGTTTCCTTTCAGCTGATGGAGAAACTTCCTCTTTTCATGAAGAAAACACCCTTCCTCACCGGCTGACCCGTGAAGTTGCTTGAGGAGCTTTCTCCTGAGTTCCAGTCCCTGCTGGATTCCCTGGTTAATTCAGCTTGAGCTGAAAAGCTTCTTGGAAGTGGAGAGGGTCCTTCTGCTTTAATCTGAGTAGTCTGTAGCTTGAGCAACCTCCCTTGTCCTCCTTCAAATAAATGCTTTGTGCGCAGCGTCCAGTTTGCCCACCTTGTTCAACTCACTATAGGTTCAAGATGGATATCACTTTACCTGCCTGGCCTTTGCTCGCAGAGCTATGCTTGAAGGCTTCTGGAAGGATTCCCTTGAGTGTGACGCCATCTGCCTCCCTAGGGTCACCTGCTCTTGGGTTTGTCAACATAAAAGTGCTGTGGAGGCAAAAGCAGTGCTCATGGCATGCAGGATTGCCGCAGTCTGGGACAAAAAACAACGCTCTTGCTCGAAAGGGGATTAATGTGGTGCTTTATTGCATGTTTCATAATTACAGGCATCATGGAGCATTCAGACCTCTTTAATATACTCTGCATGCATATTCATGTGCAGACACACACATTTCACTTGCTATTGGCAGAGCACCTCTCAATCAGTTAAAAGGGAACTTCAGTCTCAGCCCAATCTAAACCCATTCAATCTAAGTGGGGGATTAATTACACTGTGGTTGCTCACCCCACTTACAGCCTCAGAATTTTCTTCCAGGGTCCTTTCCCCAGTTCTCTCAGGGCCTAAGCCGGCCAAATATAGTTCATGCATCTGCCACCTACCCAGTCAAGACTCTCTTGCCTTCTGATTAAAATTGAAACCACCACCTGTGTCCTACCACAGGTTCTCAGTGTCTCTAAAACTGAAAGGAAAAAAAAAAACCAAACAACCAAAAAAAAAACAAAAAAAAACCCAACCTTAATTTCATCATTCTTCCCTCAAACTTCTGTCGGTCTACCTATCACACAGAATTACGGACCAAAATATCCAAGCTGAGTCTTTGTGTTTCTGAGCTGCTAATCCAGACAGGGGGTGTATCCAACACAGGTACATTTGAAAACCCCCATACCTGAGGGTCCGAATAGCCAAGGCCCACACAAACAAAAGAACATTTATTTATCCTTAAGGATTGCTTATAAGAGAAGCAAGGTGGCTGGGCGCGGTGGCTCATGCCTGTAATCCCAGCACTTTGGGAGGCCAAGGTGGGCAGATCACAAGGTCAGGAGTTCGAGACCAGCCTGGCCAATATGGTGAAACCCTGTCTCTACTGAAAATACAGAAATTAGCCAGGCATGGTAATGTGTGCCTGTAGTCCCAGCTACTCAGGAAGCTGAAGCAGGAGAATTGCTTGAACCCTGGAGGCGGAGGTTGCAGTGAGCCAAGATTGTGCCACTACACTCCAACCTAGGCAACAGAGCAAGACTGTCTCAAAAAAGAAAAAAAAAAGGCAAGATATGTGGTATCCTTGTTGGAATTGCTACAACTGGTTTTCCTTTTTGGCCTACAGGAGCAAAGGAATTGTATTAAAGATCACATGAGCAGAACAGCTATTTACAATGTGCATAGCACCTTGACATAGGTCAGTTTGTTGTTTGAGACATGGAAATAGGCAAGACGCCCTAAAACTACATGTTAGCAAAGTATCCATCTCCTCCATAGCTGCACACTATGGGGCTGCCCATAATTGAACCACCTGGATACAAGAGTCCTGCCAGAAAACAAAGTGTGTGGCTGGCCTTGCTATGTTGGATGCACAAGACACTGAGGTCTGTTTCTTTGCTTTCTTTCTTGTTACTATTAATTTTTGGCCCCTCAGGCAAGACCTAAATTCCTAACCTAAAGGTAGCTGGAGGCTTCAAAGGTGAGAGTCCCCGAAAGGTCAGCTATCAAAGGGAGGTACTTCTATGACTGAATGGCCATGCAGTTTTTAGAACCTGGAAGTCGTTTCGGCCGCTGGAAAGAGGGGAGAAGGAATCTGCGCATACTCCTGAGTTTCCACCAGACAGCACACTGTGCAGGGTTGCACACGCTCGGTCTCCTCCACACCGTCATCTCAAAGAGCAGCTGCCGTAAATCATTCAGTTAATCACCCTTTGGCAGGGAGAGCCGTGGCAGACTGGTGCTTCCAGTTCCCAGCACAGGCTCTTGCTGTTTCTAATGAGGCTTCATTAACAGGTATGAGAAGGCGCTGCTGGCCCCCCAACTCTGCCAGGGCCTTGTTTAAATCAGGCTTCCTCTCACGACATCCCGGTACAATTATGCTTTGGCGGTGGTTCACTGACAGGTGGCAGGGGAGGCTGCTGCTTGTATTGGTGTCAAGGACAGAGCATTTGTTCTGGAGCAGACCATAGCAGGGCTCCCAATAGACACCTCCTGAAACACAATCGAGCGCTATTTCCACACCAGGCAACTCCACTGGCCTCTGGCCTAGCTTCTGGAGGGCTGTGTTAACTCCCAATGGGATTGCTAGAGGATCCATTGGCTTTCAGATTCAACATTCTTTTAGATCAAGATCCTTAAATCTTACTTTCATGATCATCTGTAACACTTCTTAGCATGTACTGGTGCCCAGACATTTTGGTGCATTTTGGGGATACCAATAAAAAGAAGACCCAGTTTCTGCCCTCATGGGTTTACAGCCTTGGTGAGTGCAGGTGTGCTCCCTGGAGGATCAACAACGCAAAGGATAAGTAAAGCAAAGCAGACAGAGCAGCACGTCACAGTTTTCACAGCCCCTTCAGAGATTCATTTTGTTATCAAAGGTATGAAAATAGACATCTGAGTCTGACCTCACTTGGTTTTCAGCGAGATGATTTAGCAAGAACCATCAAGCACCATGTCTGTCTCTGATTGTCTCCACACACCCCATAGATATTATTTTATAAACCCTTACATTGTCTTGCTTGTTTTGAGAAAAGGATGGGTTGTTTCTTTGGAGACAAATCTAGAATCTTATCTGGGATTGCCAGACTTAGCAAATAAAAATACATAGAATGCCCAGTTTAATTTAAATTTCAGATAAAAAAATGAATAAGTTTTTAGTATAAGTATGTCCCACATGTTGCATGAGACATACTTATGCTAAAACATTATCTGACAGCTCTAATAATATCAGACAGAAGCACTCCATACTTCGTATTCCCCACATAGTTATCTGACCTCAAGCCATTCATAAAGGTTTGCCTAGCACTTCCAGTTGGGACACCCCAATATACAAGAAGGGGAAAGGATGGCCCAGGCTGTGTCTTTACCCATTCTTGATTGGAAACTCAGTCCCCTGACACAAAAGCACCATTGTGTTTGAGAAATTAGTCTGCTAGTTTAGTGAAGAAATACAGCAAACTGTTTTCTCAGCTGAAGTAACTGGTTTGACTGGATCATATCGACTGGTATTTTGGACAAAAGGTTGAGCAGGAACAGGAATAGATCCCAGCATAGACATGCGGTGCTGCAGAGTCGACAGAATGTTCACTATCATGCCCAAGAGGAAATACTCCATTTTCTCCTGCTCCTCCTGAGAGCGGAAGGTAATGTGCACCACAGGGAGTCCAGTTTTCAGTGCAATTCTGGGACTGGACAAAAAACCACGTTGCAGCTTAAAGAAAGGGCTTTGCAAAATGGATGAGCAACAAGCTACTAAATTTCTTTGGACAAGTCATGGCTACTTTGTTTTTGTTTTGTTTTTATCTGCAGCTAAAGTTCTTATCGATATCCTAGACAGGAAAGATGTATAAATGGGGTTCACAACTTTAAACTAAAAAGACAAAGGCAAACCTGACAAGATGATTAAGACAAGTTGTCACTAACTTCCTGAATGATAATTAATGGTGTTGTGGTTGCTTTGAGAAGAAAACAAAAGGAGAGAGGACAGGAAATCAATAGACTAGTGGTAGGTTCAGCCCCTCATTGTTTAGTACCAGCAACCAAAAGAAAAGAAGTGAGAGAAACATGTAGGGTAATAAATTGTCCTGAGGAAGTGAAATAGTGGGTTTACACATTATTTTGGGAATTCAGTCTTAGCAGTTCACCAGAGCAACAATCATGCTGAGTAGCGGAAAGCTCCCTCCAAAACTAAATCCTCTTCCTCAATAAATATTTATTCAGCCCCTGTTATATGTCAATGCCATGTTAGGTGCCAAGAATATGAAGACGTACAAAATGTGAACCTGCCCTTAAATAATCTAGATTAGCACTGTCCAATAGAAACAGAATGCAAGCTACATATTTAATGTTAATTTTTCTAATAGCCATATTTTAAACAGGGAAAAATAAACAGGTAAAATTAATTTTAATATATGTTAATTATCTTATGTCCAAAATTCTATTATTTCATAATGTAATCATATTTTAAATTATTAATGAGAGTTTTATATTTTTGGTACTAAGTTTGAAATCTGGCTTATGTTTTACCTTGATAGCCCATCTCAATTCAGATATTAAATCTTCATCAGAAATACTTGAGCTATATTTAGATTTCATAAAATTGATAGTTGAAAAAGTAGATTGACATACCCAAGCTGTTCCAAACACACTTAAAAGTTTTCCAATAACTGAATTTAAGATCACAAAATTTGTTTTCCTTTGATCTTCACATCCACCTTGACATAAATGGTTCATCTTTTTCGGAAGAGTTCATATGACTTTGAAGCAAAAGCACATCAGTTTCAAAATCCCACCTGTCCAAGTTAAGTAAATTCATTAACTCTTCCATCTCATTCAGTATTTATTAACATCATGTTCAAGGAGGTATTACATATATTAAGAATCAACTCTAAATTTATCAACATAAAAAAATCCCTTTTCAAATTTTTCTTATAAGTTTTACAGGACAAATATTTTACACAGTTTAAGTTTTTAAATTAAATTTTTAATTAATTAAAATTAAATAACATTTAAAATTCAGCTCTTCAGTCACACTAGTCATATTTCAAGAGCTCAATAGCCACATGTGGCCAGTGGCTACCACATTGGACAGCACAGATTAAAGTTGAGTAGAGGTGGGTGGGATCTACAATGGATTTGACCAGTTTGTGAAAACAATCGAGGTCATATTTGCACGATAATTTGTGAGAAGTCCTGCTTTCTCACAAATTTACCTCACCAAATACATCAGAAATTCCTGGCAGGTGAGTGTCCCACCTAGAAACAGAGTGGCTACATTCCAACAGTTGGAATGTTGGCCTCCTACTTGGCCCAAGTAATCCTTCTACTGCACTGCACT